GGGCCGGATCTGGCCCGCGGGCCGTAGGTTGCCGACCCCTGATCTATGTTATGTATTGTGTTGTAAGTGAGTAGTTCTTTAAGATTTGGAGGATGTCAATAGGGCAGTAAAAGACTGTCTCCCAAGTTTGAGAGAGGGCTGTGTTATTCTCCAGAACTTGTTGTAGCTCCTTGATGATGCATTTCAGTGATCTCACCTGGGGCTACACAGTAGTCAGTGTAGGTGACTACTAGGAGGTGTTCTCCTTAAGTAGGCATTGTAATTTTAGAAATGCCTGTTGTAAACCCAAGAGTTTGAGTCTCTGTCTTGTGGGTCTGAATAGATGCCATTGTATTGGAGAGCTTGCCTGTAAACAATAGATTTGGAAATGTGTTTTAGTGGAAACTGGAGGCATGTAAGTATGTGTAGCAATCAGTGAGTTTTTGATAGTGTGTGTTGTGCATTGTGCATTTGTACAGTGGTGTCAAGAATGTGAATTTGTTGTGTGGATTGTTCTAGGTTCAGGCTGATATGTGGAAGTTGTTGAAATCTAGTGGAGCTTCTCAAGCAATTGCTTTCCATGTGGCCAAATTACAAAGATGTCATTAAGAAATTGTAGGCAGAGGAAAAGTTCCCTGGTGCATGTGCTGAGAAAGCATTCTACATCAGTCATGAAAATGTGTAGATACTGTAAAGCAGGGGTAGGCAACCTTTTTGAGACAGGGGCTAGGTTGCTGTCCCTCAGACAATGGGGGGGGGGGGGGGGGGCTGAAGCACCAAAAATAAATAAATAAATAAATAAATAAAAATTAAAAAATAAAAAATAAAATTAAATATATATATATGCATGCACACTCTCTCAGCCCCAGAAAAGCCATGGCAAAACCCCTGTGGAGATTTTGCCAAGAAAACTCCAAGAACAAGTAATAACCACAATAATCAGTATCATCATGGCGGGCGGCGGCGGCGGTGGCAGGACCGGCCTGGGGCCAGTCCAAAGGCCTCGGGGGGCCACATCTGGCCCCCGGGCCTTAGGTTGCCTACCCCTGCTGTAAAGCCATATTCTGCCACTTTGTAATTATTCATAACTACTTCACTTTTAGGAAAAATATATTATATTATATTATATTATATTATATTATATTATATTATATTATATTATATTATATTATATGTATTTATATCCCACCCTTCTCCCAGGACTGAGACTCAGGGCAGCTTACAACATTAAAAACAATACAATTAAAAACATAAAAAAATAATACAATAAAACAGAATTAAACTACTTCAATAAAATAGAAAAAGAAGATAAAAATGTTTAAAATGCATTAAAAACATTATAGCATCTCAGGCCATTGTTTAAAAGTTATCTGTTTTGAATGTCTGTCTGAAAAGGAAGGATTTTGCCTGTCGGTGGAAGGCCATCAAGAAAGGGGCCATTCTAGTCTCCCTGGACAGGGAGTTCCAGAATCTAGGGACAGTGACGGAAAAGGCCCTCTCTCATGTCCCCACCAACCATGCTTGTGATGGCAGTGAGATGGACCTCACCTAAAGATCTCATAGCCCTGGCCAGCACATAGAGGGAACTACAGTCTGCCAAATATCCTGGACATGAGGCATATAGGGCTTTAAAGGAATTTAAAGCACTTTGAATTGTGCCCAGAAACAAAGCAGCAGCCAGTGGAGTTGTTTCAACAGGAGCGTTGTATGATCTCTCTAACCTGCCCCTGTTAGCAGCCTGACTGCAGCTCTTTGGGCCAGCTGAAGTTTCTGAACACTTTTCAAAGGCAGCCCCAAATAAAATGCATTTGTTGTTGTTAACTTGAGTCGATCTTGACTCATGGCGACCCTATGGATGAAACATCTCCAAGACCCTCTCTCCTCCATTGCTCTACTTAAGTCCTACAACTTCATACCCGTGACCTCCTTAATAGAGTCCATCCATCTAGCATTTGGACTTCCTCTCTTCCTACTTCCCTCCATCTTCCCCATCATTATTGTTTTTTTCCAGAGTCTGCTCTTCTCATGATGTGTCCGAAGTATGACAGTCTCAGTGTAATCAAGGCATGTTCCGTTACATATATACTTTGAAGTCAGTGGCACATGCATGGCATCAAAGTATGCAAACGTCTTCATGACTGAAAGTGAAAAGAAGAGTGCTAAAACTATATAGCAAATTCCAAGAATCTGGAGTCCATTATTCTGCTTCCAGGATGCACTGTGAGACATACCACCCCAAAGGAGGGGGGGAGGATAAAGCTGTTCCTTTTTCGTTAAGAGCAACTCTTCTGAGGGGCTTTGGCAGGCAAAACAACATGTAGGAGGGCTGTGTTTTGTTTTAATGCAATATCACTGGTCCTGGGGGTTTTCAGGAGTGGAAATTGCCTTTTAAATGCAGAGAGTGGGAAACAGTGGATGCACTGGAGAGTCCGAATGGTCCCTAAACATACCAAATTATCTCTAGAGTTACATGCAGCCCATGGGTTACATTTTGCCCACACTTATGATATAGTCAACAAGTCTACAACAATCCTTGCAAACATCAGTTCTTTTGCATTTGGACATGAGAAGAAAAAAGTATTTCTTAGTTGCAAACATCTCTTTATACTTTAGAATTCAAAGAATTCCACATAGGAAAAGGAGTGTAATCTCTTCTACATAGTAATATGAACCTGGCCTTTCATAGCTATGTTTTCTTGTCCATAATCACCTAGCAGACCAATGCCAAAGCTATAAAAAGAGCTTTTCTATGAAATGTAGATGAAAGGAATATTCTTCCAAGAGCTATATAAAATGTGGAAAAAGAAATGGTCTCTTTCATGTATAACAAAACATACCAACAACTTAGCCAAAGCATGCCAGCAGTAAATAGATGGTTATTTTCATTTAAGCAACAATCGCTTTGATTTGGAGGACCATTATAAAATTTCTACACAATACACAATAATTAGTGGGCAAGCCATCACACACACACACACACACACACACACACATGCCTGTATGTCAATCAGTAAAAATGTACCCACACTGATGTAGAAATGAGAGAAGATTTTTGAGCACAACAAACTGTTCTGTGAGTGTATGAATTATTACGGCCTTTACAGACTGCAGTTTATTGTGGCACCAGAGCTCTCTGACGGAGAAGGCTCAATGTCCCAGAAAAAAATGCAATTCCCATGATTCCCTAGCACTGAGCCAGGACAATTAAAGTGGCCTCAAGCTGCTTTATTTCTGGCAGTCTGTAAAGGCTCTTATTCTTGTTAGTAATGAAATCTGGCTCCTCTGAGGACTGGTTTGTTAAAACATGAAAGCAATTGTGACATCAATGAACATGTGCAAATATGTGCAGGATTTTAAACAGCAGTCCTTTCTAATCAGGTAAGTGGGCTCAGAAATGGTTAGTTCCATGTGGTTATGATTTATATCTATCTGTCTGTTTGTCCAGCTAGTGATGATCCAATATCGAGGAGTTGTAGCACATTACACTCATGGAGGTATACCACGATTGCACAGAGCCAGCTCTTTAGTGAACTGGAACATTGCACAATGGAATGTTCAACCAAATTCATGTGCAAATCTACATGCATAATCTGTTGTGAGGTGTAACATACATATACATCAATGCAAAAAGTACACAATGTACATTGGTATGAATCTGCAACATGCACAGTGAACATACAAATTGATGTGCAGTGTGCATTTGCATATGTGGTGACACTTTATGAAAACTGTTCTTTAACTGTACATTCCTGTTCCACATTGGACAAAGATGTCCAACCTCTTCTGTAGAATAGCTAATACTTGAATAAGACACCAGCAGGGCTCAAGCATCTGTCTGTATATCTAATAATAAACAATGTAATCTGATAAAGTGTTTTGGATAATATTCCTCCTCCTTGCACTTTTGAACATTGGTAAGCAAAGGGAGAGAGGCAT